ACTGATGTGGAATCTCCATTAAACTGGGCTGTAATGTAAATATTAGCTTAGAGTCTATGGCATTTTAACCAATTGACAGCTATTTCAGGTTTGTATCTCAAAGTGTGAGTATTAAGTCCTTTATGGTTATTTGAAATGTTTGAGGAACTATATTTTAAAAACTGCAAATAGGCTGTTAAATTATGGTTGTAGTTTTCATTTAGTTTGAATGTCAATCGAACCTTACGTAGGAATATTTCTTGATACAGCCAGATTGTGTTTGGATGCTATTGAACATCCTTGGTGAATGAGAAATGTGATATAAATCAAAAAAGGTTTATTCAAGCATTTGAATGGTAATGGAAGATAGTGATAGTCACTTTTCATCCATAGTTTAATTAATTTGTGATTAAAATACTATGCATATTTAGAAATATTGAAGTTGAAAATTATATTGTATTTGTGGTGAGAGACATCATTAGGTAATTGATAGTTATTATATGGAATATAAAGTAAATGTTTTAAGAAAAAAGATATAATTAATTATTATGTTATGTAATTCCTCACCATTATAGTTTGAGGTATATGATTAGTAAAGTATAAAATACTTGTACATGTCAGTAATTTTTTATGACTAACTGAAAATGAATTTCTATTGTAAGAAAGTGTTTACACATATGAGAGAGATTATGTGATCTTTCTATGTCTGGTTCATTTCTCTTACCATAGTAACTTCCAGAATTATAAATATTTAAGAAGATGGATATGCAGAGTGTAGATATGGTTCCAATGTTTTCACTTTGATTACATCATCGTAATATCACTTTTTACCCCTAAATATATATGTACATATAATTTTAATGCATATTAATTTATATTAACACTTAGAAAAGAATCTCAGAGAAAATAATTTCTAATTAATTGCTATTGATTATGCAGAAATGGATTAGGGAAAACAAGTAATTGAAATGAGGACTTATTTTGATTTTTGCAATAAGAAAAAATAAAAATGCTATAACCATCGTTGTAAGTTCATACGAGCAACTTCAGGGCCATATGGAAATCTCAATTTCCTTGTCATCACCCAAGACCTCTAGCTTACAGTCTTTTTGCCCCCTTTTCTGGAAAGGAAGAGTTGATTTTCTTTAAGGTAGTCATGCTACATAGGTTAACGAGGCTCCAGTGGAGGAACTCACACCAAAGGATGTTTCAGAACACAAACTTGCTTAGATAGACCTAAACATATATGACAGAATGTATGAAGTCCAGTGCTGGGGAGGGCTATGAGGGGTGTAGATGGGGGAGGGTGTCTAAATATGGTCAAGATGTATGAACGTTGCAAAATTGAAAAAATAAAATAAATACAGTTTGGTAGGGAAGACCTTTTTGAAATGAATGTCATAAATGTAACACTGAGTCTTCTCAGATAAATTAATAATCCAAAAAAACCCCAAACTTCATGGCTAATATATTGGTGTGGCACATTGTTTCTAAAATGTATTTGGATTTAGTGAGCCATGCATGAACACTGATAGAGATCTTTTTTTTATGTTGTCTGGTATATAGATGGTAGCATGGAAAAAATGTTTCCTTTCTTGAGTTTCCTGAATAATTTAAATTTCTAGTTTTGGGGGCCCTTATGCGAGTCTTATGACTACAATTTGTGACTGTCTTCAACGTGGAGAGAGCTGTATTTAGTTAAAACTCTTTAATTGAGATGTTCATTTTTTTAATTTACTATTTTTATTTTATGTGTGTGCGTGTATTGCCTGCATTATTTTTATCTTGCATGAAACTCTACTACCTGGAAATGTGTTTTATGGCAATGTGCTCCCTCTGTACTTTAAATAAACAATCATAATTAAAATCATAAAATTGACCTCAAATAAATTAATAGCAGTTCTTTCCTCCATCCTAAAATAAAGTTAGGTTTTATTTAAAATTAAACTCATGGGACTGGAGAGATGGCTCAGCAGTTAAGAGCACTGAATGCTCTTGCGGAAGACTCGGGTTTGAATCCCAGCACCCACATAGGCATCTAATAACTGTTTGTAACTCCAGTTCCAGAGGATCTGACACCCTCTTCCATCCTCCATGGACATTGCATGACACAGGTGTACTTATATATATTCAGGCATAACACTCATACACATAAAAATATAAATAAATAGAAAAGTAAACACATTTGTTTAAAATATACTATTAGGTTGAGTCTATAAATGTTTTGTTTCAGTTACAAAATCCATAGAAGTCAGGAGACTAATAAGGAGCATTGGGAGTGGGGTTAATAGACTCAGATAGAATGAAGTGCTATAAAAGGTTTGGAAAGGGGAATAATAGGATATTGATGGTTAAATGGGGTGGAGAATGGGAGAGCAGGGCAGGGGAAGTAGTAAGAGGAGGGAAAACTAGAACTAAGGTCTTTCGAGAAAGTCATCTGGAAAACTACTAGTAGAGAAACTCCTTGAAATATATACATGTAGAATAAAAAAGAGTTTAAATTACCCTATAATGGGGATTCAATAACCATAGCAGATACCACATGCTAGCACATAAAAAGTCCAATGCCAGGAATGGGCTCTGTACTTCGAAGCTGCTGACCAGGAACGTGGTGGTCCTATAGAGCCTGAAACAGTCCTAGTTATTGCATTGATTTTGGCTACCTGCTAGAAGTTGACGGTAAGTCCAGACTCCTGAAGATACTGCATTAATGAGTTGCAGAACAAACAAAGGGGAATCAAGCTGGCATTGATCTCAGTGATTCATCAATTGTGGCTAACTTTCATCATATCCGAAGGGGCTATGTATGATACTGGAAAAGAATAGTAATCATCACTTTTACACAAATGTGAATTCTGTGTCCTAGAATAAAGACTGTCCTGGCATGATATGCCCACTGTTGCAATAGTGGGAACAATTCCATGGGCATAGTCAACCACTGTCTTATTAGATTTAAAGCCACTTCACAAGAGTGATACTGTTATCAGGACCCAAATCCGGGGGTTAGATAGGTCACAGGCCATAAGCGAGAACAGAAAACGATTATTTTGCTAAATATACATAATATTACATTGAATCATAATGAATTGTTGTTGTACTCATAGATTAGTGCATCTTTCAACTCTCACCTGCACCTGAGAGGTTTCTTCTTGCAGCGTCATTTAAAACAGACACACAACTGGCCAACGGGCAGAGCATAACACACTACGGAGTGCTCAGTTCTAAGTGGAACACCTATTTCACAACCTCTCCTTCCAAGGCTCAGTGATCATTGCAGAATGAGGGGAAAATAGATTTTAAACACTGTAGAAGGTAAATGAATACCAGAGAACATGTTGACACCATAGGGTAGTTACATATATGAATCCACAGCACTTGTGACAGCACATAACAAAAACTGTGCAAGCCCAAGTCTAGCAAAAGCCCAGCATGAAGGGGGAAGTTGGACAAGACACTTCAGCCTTAGCACAAAATATATAAGATATATTACCAATTCACAACGCTTGGAGAGAGAGAGAGAGAGAGAGAGAGAGAGAGAGAGAGAGAGAGAGAGGAGATTCATTTTTCTTTAAGGATGTGACACCTGCTAGGCTGACCAAACTCCAAGGGATTGATTCACATGCAAGAGCATCTGAGCCACACAAATTAGACTCAGTAGGTCTTTCTAAAACAAAAATAATAATGTAGGATAAAACACATTGTATGAAATTCTCAAAGAATAAATACAAATATTTTTTAAACGAGATGAAATGGAGAAAAGAAGGGAAGAAAGAAAATGGAGAGACAGAAGAAAAAACATTCACAAAGTGGAAGAAAATTGATTCTTAAGCATATGTTAAAGTGATATTATTACTGTTGCTACTGTTTTCACAAATTCTTTTTGGTGTTTTCTGAACTCCCTCTTTTAGCTTTTTGTTATGGCATGAGCAGCAATAAAAAGAGAAGATATGAAAAAGAGAAAATTAGATATTATTAATATTTTATTATTGTAAGTTGGATCAATAAGTATTTTACCTATGATATCATTTATGTAGTCTATAATATATTTTAAAATATAGGCAATGGTGTTTTAGATCATATCCTAAAGATAATTGGTTTCTCAGCTTGGGTTCTAAATAGGAGAAGACAGCAGGAGAAGAAATACTTTAAAATACATTGTAAAATGCTATAATTTACTTGTAATTATACTAATATCTGTATGGTTAGACTCACCTTCTCTAGCTTGTGCTCAAAGGTACTTCTTGTAAAAAATTCTCAATTTGGTAAACAGTAAGCAGATAATAATTTTATTTTGCTACATCGTACACAACAGCACATTTGATGCCATCACAAGTAGAATGTGGATAATATTTGAGTTATTCTTTAAATTATCTAAAATGTATGAGAATTATTTCAGTTTACCTAAGAAAACATGGAATTCCTAGTACTATTAAACAGTATTGATATTTGTTATCAAAATGAAAATTGGGTTGATATGTCAGCATGTAACTTATTTGTTATTAACAAAGACTTCAAATTAGTTATAAGTATTCATTTTATTCAATTATATGTAAAGGGTTTAAAAATCCGAGGTTATTTTTCATTAATAATTCTGATTCTTGGACAATCTATACCCAGCCTTCCTATCATCCCTATTAAATTTCTTAAAGAAAATGACATACTAGAAATTGTGAGTACATCACTGTATTATAATGATTAAAATAAATGTTACTTTTTCAGTTAGATGCAATGTTTGGCTTAAGTATATTTCTTTCATTGTTTGGGTGGACAACGAATAATAGCATCTTGTAAATATATGTGGAGGAAATATAAGAACATAGTGTATACATAAATAAAATCTGTGAACATCTGAATATTTGAAGGTATAAAGCAATGTAAAATTTTGTTGATCTACTAATGTCCCAATCTGTTACTAGAATACAATAAAACAATTTTAAATGTCAACAAGAATGAATGCAGATGCTTAAAGAATCTTCCTAGTACCATAATGTAACAAGTCTAATGTGCACTGTCTCTTTTAGGTCTGGATCTCCCATTTATGATGATGCCTCATCCCCTACTTCCAGTCAGCTTACCTCCTGCATCAGTTGCCATGGCAATGAATCAGATGAATCATCTCAATACTATTGCCAACATGGCTGCTGCAGCCCAGATTCACAGTCCACTCTCCAGAGCTGGTGCCTCTGTTATAAAGGTAGGAATCATTATTTTGAAGACGAAAAAGGTGTTATTTACGTATAAACTCTGATAAAATATCAGCAGTACCACTAAATCTCGAGTAATAACGCAAAATTCATTGACTCAATTATTATACAGTGTATTTGAGTTTGAGTTCTGACTAGGACTGCCAGGTTTTGATAGTGTTTGTGTTTTTTTTAAATATTGCCACAGATCTCTCTTTTATTCTGATTTTGTGTCTTGAAATCAAGCACACAGTGTGTCTGTGCCTCTCTCTCTCTCTCTCTCTCTCTCTCTCTCTCTCTCTTTCTCTCTCTGTGTGTGTGTGTGTGTGTGTGTGTGTGTGTGTGTGTGATGGCCAGACTAATCACTGTGAAGAAGAGTGAGCAAAAATCATTCCAAATTGTGGGATGATACAATATAAAAACTGTACATCATTTGGGAGTTTGAGAGAAAGTTGTGAGATATGCTATGCTGTACCATGTTCACACTGTCAAAGAAGCGTTGGTCCTAAATCTGGTTTGCAATGTATTGGCTGAATGTGCTAAATATGACTCTTAACTTCTAAATGTGTTTCTTTAATTGTAAAATGAATACTACATATATAATCTTTCCTACTTATGTCATTGGCTGACTGGAAATAATCTCAACAAAATAACTGTTAACATAAGGTGGAGAACAATAATGGAAGAGAAGCAATATCAACCTCTGGCCTACACATGTGCACATACACGTGTATGCACAGTCATGTACACACACTGCATACATATACAAACAAAAATTAAAAATAAAAGCTCAGCAAGCAAACAAATATTTATTATAATTTATCATACACATTTTATCAAATATTACAATTTTTCAAATCTTATGGCCATTCTGTAATGAGAAACAAAGCATATTCTGTAATTGCTCCTTCTGTTTCCTATCATAGCACATGCTCCATTCTTTTATTTCAAACAGCAGATGAACCAAGCTATCTCATATTTTTTTGGTGAAGAAGTAACTTAACTTTATATAAGTATTATATATTGCAATAAATCAAGGAAATGTATAACACATACTTACAGACATCTTCACATATTCTCTGACTTTCAAAAGCTACCAATCAAATATGAGTTAAACAAATAATTGACTTTTATTAGCGATACAAAGGGATGGATGACATGAGTAAACATTATAAAAATAAAGAATGACCCATCCAAACAGGATTTTCGCTGCTTGCATTAAGGGCCAGAGAGATAGCTCATTGGTTAAATACATTTGGTGGACTTCCAGAGAACTCAAGTTAATTAGTAACACCCATTACAGACAGCTGACAACTACCTGTAACTCTAGGTCCAGGAAATCTGAAGCCCTCTTTTGGCCTCCATGAGCACACGTACACACACATGCATAAAGGAAAATAAAAAAAAATAAGCCTTAAAACTTGACATTAAATGTAATCTTATTTAAGTACTGTAAATAATCTTATATTAATCAGAAATTATGGGCATTAAATTTTTATTCAAAAGATTTTTATTTTATTTATTGGTGTGCAGATATGCCATGGAATACATGTGGGGTTAAGGGTATAACTTAAAACGATTAATCTCTTTCTCCATGACGGGGGCCCTGGAGATCCAATTCAGGTCCTCAGGCTTGGCATCAAGTGCTTTTACCTACTAAGCCATCATGCCAGCCATAACTTTAAAAATTTTAACTAACATAACTTAAAAGATATATTTAATTCAAATAACTTTTCACAAAATTTATCTCCATATCTAATAGGCACAAGTCCCTATTGAATAATGGCAGGGAAATGATTAAAGCCTGGCCAACACATTGAGCCTCTATCTCAAAAGGAAAATAGTGTCTTTGAGGGAATAGTGAAAACCTTGGTTTTAAACTGTCAAGTTTTGTTTGTTTTTCAAAATGCTATTGTATAAATAGTAAAGTTACATAATTTAAAATAATAATGGATAGAAAATGCTATAATAAAACCCAAATAATTTTATAATAAGTATTTGTATCTTAATTTCATTCTCCTTTCAAAAAGTTATTAATATGACACCAGTTATATGATACCTACCCAGATAAACACTAAAGTTACATTTGTATTTTTTTTAATATTTTATTTATTTTTATTTTATGTATGTATTGCCTGCATGTAGGTAAGTGCACCCTGTCAGAGCCCCTGGAACTGGAGTTACAGACAGTTGTTAGCTGCCATGTGGGTGCTGGGATTCGAACCTGGGTCTTCTGCAAGAACAGCTAGTGTTCTTAACCACAGAGCCATCTCTCCAGCCCCACATTTGTATTTTTTAAAAATGTTATTTTTAATGACATTATTAGTGGCACAAAGACTCAAATTTCAACCTATTAAATTTTTAGGCATTGGAAAATTATATATGTTGAGAACTTTTCTAATAATACTTGGAGGTACAGAAGCTATTCATGCCAAACCAAGTTTTCTTCATTTACATTACAAGGTATTTTGTGTTACTAGTTTAATATAAAATATATCTAAATTGTCATTGTTATTTTTTTACAAAGTATCTAATTTAAAATTATGATTTCTTCTAAAATATGCAAAACTATGAAGTTTAACATTTAATATTTAAAAGGAAATGTTATAATTATGAATTCAACTTGTTTTTAAGAAACCTATTTAATATTTGGTTAAGTCTGAAGTCTGAATTCCTTATTGAGTAACTAATATAATCCATTTAAAACACAGATATAGAAATATCAAACTTTGACAGACAAAATGAGAGTTTAATAAAAATTACAAAATGTTAATGTGTTGTTTTAAATTTGTAAGTAGTTACACAAAAGCTACCAAACTATATACAATAATTTACATTTTCCCTGCTTCATGCTTAAAATTCTATTAGCAATTGGTATACTCTTTTAGAGTCCATTTATTCAGATTTTTATAAGGACGGGAAACCCTTTTATTTGTTTGTTTAAAATTTTACTTAGAAATTATAAAATTTATAGCAAAATGACAAGTAGTTCAATGAACAATAAAGATATTATCTCATTCAGCATATCCAACAAATTAGTATTCAGGAATGTCTGATTCCTACTGAACTATTGATCAATCATTGCATGAAAGAGACAACAGTTAGAAAGTTATGGGACACCAACAATTGTGACTGTGAAAATCTGCAAATAATATATGTTTTATATTGTGACAGTCTGTTTTTCTTTGTATGAATGCTCATAGTCAGCAGTTGGTGCACTTAATTGTGAATGTGCTACTTGCTTAGTAAAACAGTGTTGAACACTATATGCAATAAAATCTGAAATTCCTATGATAGCTTAATGAACTCAGTGTTTTAGATCTCATATTACAGCTATTATCCAGTGATGTGCCTGTAAATCTGCTCTTCTGAAACAAAGGAAAATTCAACTGGAAAAAAATACTGACTTAACATTTGCCAATTTTTGTAATACAAATTATTTCCCATGACTGATTCCAAGTTATCTGCACAAAACTATCTAAATCACACAATTACTGACTATCTAACAGTTGACTGGACTGAATAGGCTCTATGATAATGCATTTATGTTAAAGCATTACTACCAATATGAAATCTTTGCAAACCAACCCCCTATTGTGAATTTCCTGAATGCCAATTAAGGGTAACAAAAACTTTTCCAATTATTTTGTCAATCAGTTTACATTCCTTCAGAAATATAATAACAAATTTAAAATGTGGTCAATCACCATAAATTAAATAACTGGCTTTTGGATTTAATTTATTTCTGTCTTTTGGTATAGAATTATCTCAGAATTGAAGATGGTTATAGATAATTAAATTCAAACAATTTTC